ATGTAGAAATTCTTTCACTAGGGGACAGCTCAGACATCTTAAATCAATTCACACAGAAGGAAAGAACCCACAGACCAGTGTGAATTTGGAGGGGTAACTTGGAACAAATAGTCATTCTCTTGCTTTTCAGTATGTTCTGGGAGGTTTTTGTTAATTTTTTTAAGGATTAATTATTTAATTTTATTTACTATTATGCTTCTTCAATTTGATCAGAGAAAGAAAGCAAGCCACCAGGTCTGGGACTCAAACCCCAGTCGGCCATGTAGAAATACAGTGCCTTTATTACCACACCACCTGCTGGTCTCCGTTCTGGAAGGTTTTCTGCATCACTCAAGCATATCCAAATAATCTCAGTGACTAATGGGTGTAAATACATCAGCAGATGGCTTTGTCTTAAGGTTCATGAAAACATGCACCTGTCTTCAGAAATCTTAGCTCTGTGTCCCATGAATCCCTGGTCTCAGAGTATGATGTAGATGAGAGAGGAGAAGGGACTCTTGCACACTCTGCTGCCATGTGAGTGCCTGCAGCCCCTTCTCCCTTGTCCAGCCCTCCCCTAAAGCTATGGCAGGTCCCAAAAAGGCTTGCCTTCCTGAAGCCACAGTGCCTACCACATTGCTTAGCCCATAGTACATGAGCAACTAATATTTATCCATAAGTGAATGAGAAAGAGGAAGCCCTCAAAGAAGAGAAAAATGTGAAGGGTCTTCAAAACATTCATACAAAAATGGAATTAAAATATGAGTTTCTTTGGGTATGAAAAATTGTGAAACCCGTGCATTATTTGTTCATACTAGGCATTTCCATGAACTTCCTGAAGACCTCACATATATGCAGGAAGATGTCCAACCCCTCCACCATACCATCCCTCAGTCCCTACAAAGGAAGTCTATTTTTAATTGTAGGAATAAGTGTTGTTAAGAGTCATGGTTAAGATTTGGTGTTACTGGGAACCAGCAGTTAGCGTAATGGCTATGTCGCTGGACTCCCACATAGTCGACCGCGGTTCGCGTCCCAGACCCGGTGGCTTAAAACTCATGCCGGGCGAGTGTGCGTGTGTGTCTAAGATCCCGAGAGGAGAATGGAGGAGAAGGGATTGCGGCGTGGCCATCCCCCCTGCGGGGTGATTTCTCGCTTTCTGTCTCTATGTCTCTCTCTGTCTGTCTGGCGAGCGCACGTGCCCTATAGCGAAAACCTCTCCAAAAAAGAAAAAAAAAGATTTGGTGTTACGGTCAAAGACATTTGGGGGAAAAAATGAAAAGGGGAGAAGAATCTTAGAAATTGGCACCAGGAGAGAGATTAGTGACTTTCACCGTTTGTTGTGAAGATGAGGAACTTGATCCTGCTGTGTGTGGTGGCAGAGACAACATATGAGTCCAGGGTCCTGGCTGCCAGGCCATGATGGCCCCACTGGTGGGAGAAAAGACCCGAAGCCTCTCCCCTTGTCCCATAAGTGAGGGTGCCCGCTGTTGTACAGAAGGCCTGGATTCTTTGCAGACCTAAGTCTGCCCAGAGGGAATTGCATTCAGCCTGTTGCATTGCTCTGCTTTGGAACCATCTTTTCTTTAACCAGAGGTTTCCCAGAGATGGTCCAGAACATCTGGAGTGGGGAGACACTCATGAGTGTGAGCCCCATGGTCTCCCTCACATGGTGCAATGAGACCATAAGCTAAAGGACAGCCACTGGGAGGCTCAAGTTCCCAGAAAATAGAGCAATGAAACAGACAAGGGATGCTGACGGCAGGACATCACATGGAGTCCCATCAGAATTTACACATTGAGAAGACAAAATGGATCAATCCAAATGCAGTGGAAGGGCTGACCTGTAGCCTAGTGGTTATGGCAGCTGGATCCCATATGGCCGACCCCAGCTGAGTCCCAATCCTAGGCAGCCTGGGTGCACGTGCATGCACGCTCAAAATCCCAACAGGATGGAAAAATGGGAGAAGGGATTGTGGCAGGACCATGCCTCCCTGGTGAGGTGCTCTCTCCCTCTCTGTCTCTGGTGAGCACATGCACCCTCTGGCAATGAAAAAGAAGAACAAGGGCAGTGAGGAAGTTGGGAGAAAATACAAAGACCAGGAGCCCTGAAAAACTCCTGCTATGCAGGAAAAAAGTGTGTGTGCATGTGTGCGTGTATGTGTGTGTGTGTGTATTCATTCCAATTCAAGGTTCGAGCCACAGGCTTATTCTTCAGCGGCTGTCCCTGGCTGCTTTGCTGGGCCAGCCTTGCTCATGAAAGACACACGCTATCCTCTGTTTATGTAGGGACTGTGGCGTAGGAGAAAATACTGTGGTTTCAAATGCAAACAGATCAGATCGAATCTTGCTGTGTGTGAATGGGAGTGAGTCACTTCATCTCTCCAAGCCTCAGTTTCATCTTCCATAAATGGAGTCATTATGGCTTCTGGGTTGTCAGAGATATTAAATGGGCTGGCTCCTGTGGATCCCCAGGTCGGTGTCAGGCAAGGGTCAATGCTCAATGACAGGTCCAAGTGATATTGTGTGGTCCATCTAGCTGGTCTCATCATCACGTTGAATTTGGTGCCACAGTGACCTTAGGGGTGCCACCCATGCTACAGACAGGGAGATGGTACCAGAGGCCAGGCCGTGTGGGGACTGGGCCAGCCAGCGCTCCCATAGCCGTCACCTTCTCCCCAACCTTGCTAGCACCTGCCGTCACTGAGCACACTGGCTGCAGGTGGGACTATCACATTGACCTCTTCAGGTCTAATCATCCTTCAGAGACATTACGTTGCCCGGGTGTGGATAAGCCCACTGTTCTGCAGAGGTGGTCCACACCAGGTCTCAAAGCTGGGAATGCCTCAGCATTGCCGGAGGACTCATTCATGCACAGATTGTTAGGTCACACCTCCAGGCTTTCTGAAGGAGGAGGCCTGGAATGGAGCCCAGAATTGCATCCCTAACCAGTGCCGTGGGGCTCTGGTGCTGTTGGCGTGGGGGCGGAGAACCACTGGGACGTACCCGTTGGCCAAGTGTGGCAAAGCTAGATAACCAGAGGCAAATAGCCCCACCTGTCCCTCACTCTGAAGCCTGTCATCATAACTTCAGAAACAAAGGCGTGTGGGTCACTTCTGCCACGCAAGGATTCTGTCGGTGCCGAAGATCTCCAACATGGTTCACCTCTGCTCAGCAAGGTGCTTCTGAGGGGGATGGAGGCCTGAGCTGGGGATCCGTGGCCCTTTTTTTTTTTAATTTTTTTATTTTTATTTATTTATTTTTTTTACTGTAAAGTGTGTGCACTTGCCAGAGAGAGAGAGAAAGTGAGAAGCTACCTCCCAGAGGGATGGCCACACCACAATTCCTTCTCCTCCATTCTCTTCTTGGGACTTCGGGCACACATGCACATGGACCCCCTGCATGTTTTTCAAGCCACTGGGTTCAGGACTTGAACTGTGCAGTTGGCCATAAGGGAACCACCACATCACTGGCCGGTTCAGTTCTGAACCCTTTGGATCCATTGGACAAGGCAAGTTCTGTGTCTTTACCTGTAAAATGTGCAGTACAAATCCTGACCTCCCACAGAAAAAGATTGCACAGACTGGGCAAGGAGCGACTGTCGGCCAGAGCAGGTGTGGGGTTTGCGAGCTTCTGTTTATAGAATGAGAGGCAACTCATCACCCTCCACCCATACCTTTCATGGTCCATCACCATCCCCACAGACCTCTTTTCCCACATAGCCTGTGAGGCACGACCTGGACCACTTGTAAACTGATGGGATGCTGTCTCTAGGGGAAGCGAGGACTTGGATAGAGCAGAGCCCACCTTTTCTCTGAAGCCCTGCCCGCCCACCCCACACTATCTTCCTTTAGGGACCGCGTCTCCCCTTCACTCTTGGCCCTTGGGCGGAGAGGCACTGTGTCTGGCTTGGACAGTTTCCCATCAGCTGGCCTTGCTAGACGACTGTCCGGTCAGGCAGGTGCCCCGATCTCCCCAACCTCGGCTCTTGAAACAGAGCTACGGGCAGCAGGATCTCCAGCCACAGACAGTGAGGTCCGTTTCCACAGGGTGCAAAAATGACCATTTTCTCATGCCATGAAGCAGAGTGGGAAGCACCTGCCATCGGCCCTTCCTTCAGCAGCATCAGCACACAGGCGCTCGATGACTCAGGGCAGGCAGCCGGGGAGACCTGGAGCATGGGCGTCTGTTCCGGGGTGGAGTTCCTTTTGCCGTCCCGGCTTGTGGGAGCAATCCTTCCCACCACCACCTCCCGGCCCCCAGGGAGAGCAAGTGTGGCTTGATGACGGCGGTCGAAGAGATGCTGCTGAGCAGACCAGGGTGGTCCCTGTTGTGAGTGTGACCAGAGGGCAAGAGCACGCTTTGCCAACGCTCTGAAACTGCCCCTCTCCAGTCCGGTCTGATGTAGAGGAGTGGCTGTTATCAAGGTTCATTAATGCAGCCTCGGAGTTACTGCTGCAGCTCCCACCCCACACCCCCTGCCCAGGAAGCGCACACTGGCTGGAGCGGCTGTAGGGGTGTGGATATGTCGTGGACTCTCCAGCTGGCAGAGCAGGGAGGAGGGCATCTGCAGCCAGACAGCAGGCACTGGGAAACCGCCCTTTGCTGGGAGTCAGATGTCCTTCATTAGAAGAGTTGTGGCAGGACTTGCCTTTTGGAGGAGTCCATTTCCCACTGTCTCTCCTGACGAGTGCACATCCTGCATCCCTCACACCAGAAAGCACACGTGGCTCTTCCTTATAGCTGCATGAGGACCGTGTTCTTCAAGTCCCTCCAACATGGCCCATTTCCCACAGGGAAGGTGTTGCTCTTCGGACACCAGCCAGTGCGTGTGTTCAAGGGGCTCCACCGAGACCCTGGGAAAGCCTAGCCGTGCATCGTGCCGGTGCAGCACTGGCAGCCTGTGGGCAGGGGGTGCTTGGGCAGACTCTCGGTGCTCCCCTGGCCCTTGGTGCTGTCTGCTTTTCCGTACGTGGTCTGCTGAGGCTCACCATACCCACTGTCCTCTATTCACGTTCAAGGGCTTGAAGAATCAGTCTCGAGTGAAGCTGAACATCGTGAGGTGTCCTCCAGTAACCACCGTGTTAATCAGAAGGCCAGACCTTCGCTACCAGTTGGGGTTCAGCGTCCAGAATGGGATTGTAAGTACAATGTACCACCCCCCTTTCCAAAATGTTAATAAATAAAAATGTAGTGGGGTTTGGGGGTTTTGTTTTTTAAGTTTTTACTATAGGGTGCATGCTTTTGCCAGAGGAAGAGACAGAGTGGGGAGAATGAGAAATCACCCCTCAAGGGGGATGGCCACCCCACAGTCCCTTCTCCTCCGTTCTCCTCTTAGGACTTTGAGCATGCACACACACACACACACACACACACACCCCAGGAGCGATCTTCAAACCGCTGAATTCGGGACTTGAATGGCATAGCCACCATGTGGGAGTCCAGAACTTTAAACTCTCTGCCACCTGCTGGCCTGGACTTTTTTGCTTTTTAAGCCAGTCCTTTCCATCAAGAAATCCATCAAGAAAGGGACTGAGTGGATAAAGGCGACTCACCTCCCCCACCAATTGCACAGACTGGCCATTCACCATCACTGCACACTCCCCAGCAGAGAACTCTGTGCCCTTCCACGTGAAGGAGACGGGTTCTGCCCAGCGCCGTGGCCCTGCAGCCCAGCGTGTGTGACAGTACAGGGTTACCCTCCCTGCTGCTGACTTCACAGTTTGGGACATACCCAGGAAGGGCACTTCCCTCTGGGGGCCGCGATTCTCCTCTGACTCCCATACCAGGGTGAGGAGCAGTGGGGGCCAGGCCCAGCGTCTTCCAAGCTCCCCTGGGCCCCCGTGTGCAGCCCCACTGAGCACATTGTCCTGCGCTGTTCTGCATGAATTATCTGTGCATAGCTGCTCTGCTTTTTTACCTAAATTAGCACTCTGGGACTAAGGATATTTTTACCACTTGGCTGTGTGCCTTAAAATAACACTGGGTTGTTGGAAAAGTCATGACATATTTTTCTATGTTTGTCTATGCAAAAATGATCATGACTTTTCTGATGAGCCAATACTTCCACTGTTTTGTATTTTTTTTTTTTTTTTATCATAGGACACGTGTGCTTGCCAGAGAGAGACAGAGACAGGGAAAGGGAGAACACCCCCTGGGGAGATGGCCACACCACAATCCCTTCTCTTCCATTTTCCTCTCGGAATTTTGGGCGGGCATGTACATGCACCCAGTGTGATTTTCAAGCCACCACGGTCAGCGCTGTGGGAGTCCAGCGCCTTAACCACCCCAGTACTTCCATTGTTTTGCTTCAGTTGTGTGAAACTGAAGTCCCTTCTCCAGTCTCCTCTTGGGACTTTGGGCGTGCACACACACATACACACCCAGAGTGATCTTCAAGCTGCTGGGCTTGGGACTTGAACCACATAGCCCCCATGTGGGGGTCCAGCACCTTAACCTCTATGCTACCTGCTGGCCCAGACTTTTTGCTTCTTAAACATCCTTTCCCTGAAGAAATCCATCAAGGAAGGGACTGAGTGGATAAAGGCGGCTCAGCTTCCCCGGTGGTGGCAGGTGTGCAGTTCGGTGGCATCGTGTGTGTTTGCTGGGTCGCCAGACTCTGTCCTCGTCCTTGTCCTAAGCAGACTCTCCGTGCTTCATCCTACTCCCTTTGTGTCCCTCGTTCTGCACTCGGTAATCCTGGACTTCGGTGGCGGGTCTCCTCTTTCTGTGCCTTTCCCAGTTTCACACGATATGGATGTACGCTCCCTCTTTGCATTCTTCCCTCCAGACAGAACAACCTATTCCTTTTGCCTCAACTTTCAATTAGGAGTCCTAGAGAGAAAAAAAAAAATCTTATTCCAAGTGTTTTTTTGTTGTTTGTTTTCATGGTTTCTGCCATGGGGCTTGTGCACTCACTGGAGAGAGACAACTACAGAGAGAAAATGAGAAGTCACCCCGTAGGAGTGACGGCTATGCGACAGTCCCTTCTCCACCATTCTCCTGGGGTTTGGGGCACACACGCACACATTCCCAATGTGATTTTCAAGCTGCCACATCTGGGACTCAAACTGCGGTCAGCCATGTGGGAGTCCAGTGCCTTAACCACCGCATCACCTGCTGGCCCCATGTTTTAAGGTCTAGAAATACCTTTGAAATTCCCAGAGCTGAGTTGTCGAGCCCCACTGTGCGTGCTCTTTGTGCCCGGGTAGCCTTGTTGGCTGTTAGGAGAGGAGGTGGGCTCACAGCTTGGTGTTTGGGTCTGACGTCGCCATTTTATCTGTTTATACTCATTGGCTTTGTTCACATTTAAATGATGTTAAAAGTTGTTTTGATATTAACAAAGAGTTGTTACATGACTTGTGTGAGTCCATCTGGACCCTCAGTTTTATCGAAAGTATGGAAAGCACCCAAGGAATGTGTGACCCCAGAGTAGCTGGGACGCTGAAGGGCCCCCACAGTCACGCAGACACGGGGCATGTTTTGCAAAATGCTGGGAACAGCAGTTGGCATAGTGGCTATGTTGTTGGACTCCCACGTAGTTGACCGCGGTTCACATCCCGGACCTGGTGGCTTAAAACTCACGCCATGCATGTGCGTGCGTGGCCAAGATCCCAAGAGGAGAATGGAGGAGAAGGGATTGTGGCGTGACCATCCCCCCTGGGAGGTGATTTCTCGCTTTCTGTCTCTATGTCTCTGTCTGTCTGGCGAGCGCACGCGCCCTAAAGCAAAAAAAAAAACAAACCTCTCTCTAAAAAAAAAAAATGCTGCTTGCAGTCCTCCGCATCGGGCTTAAAATAAAGATGAGTAGTCTGAAATGAAGAGTCAGCTTAGTAAATTCTTCTGGGAATCGCAGGTGGCTTTGTGTATGAGGTGGGGGTGGCTACACCCTGCAGCCTGGAGGGCTCGTTTGCTACTAGCCGGCAGCCCCTGCCCACTGCAGAGCCCATTCGCCCATCACAAAACCAGCCTCGTTGTTTCCACATGCAATGAGTTTGAAGGAGGTCTGTCGAGTTCGAAAGGTCTAAGCAGCAATTCCCCACCGGTTACCCATACTTTGAAACACAAAGTGGGGTTCCAGTTCCACTTCAGCTCTTATCACTGTGACCCTAACAGGCTGCTGGCTTTAAACAGTTGAGTGTTCGAATCCCAGTTGTGACAGTGGACAGTCATGCTAACCTGTGCCACACACTGGCCGTTGGGAAACATCAGCATCTCCGTGATGGGCCCAAACAGACCCAGCAGAGATGATCAGCAGTCGGGCTCCAACGTGCCTGGAGGCCTGGTGATGTGCTGCATTCTCTGTGCGAACCGCGGGACCGATTTCTCATGAAGAGAAACTAAGATGAAAATGCCCCAAACCTCACCGTGGCAGCTTCCCAGTGACGAGAGTGCTGGGGGTGAGGGCGTCCCAGGAAGGACAGTCTTCCATCCCCACCCAGATCTGACACGTGGCGTTGCCTGTGAGGTGTAACTTGACCTTTGACTCTCCTAGATCTGCAGCCTCATGCGAGGGGGCATAGCCGAGAGAGGAGGTGTCCGCGTCGGACATCGGATCATTGAAATCAACGGGCAGAGCGTGGTGGCCACCCCCCACGAGAAGATCGTGCACATTCTCTCCAATGCTGTCGGGGAGGTAGGCGTGAGGCCCGGGGTTGCTAGGGGCTGGGGGTATCATTCAGTGCTCTTTGGCTCATGCTTGCCGTGGCCCCAGCAAGGAAGCCACCCTGAGTGCCCTTTCCTAGACACTGCCTGGTTCCAGAACGGTTGGCCCTGACCAGATGTCGACCCCACTGACAGGCAGTTGTCTGCAAGCTCTCCCGTGAAATGAAAGCAGGTGACCTCTAGCCTCCTCTTCCAGTACTGCTTGCTCGGCTTCTCTCCACCCCCAGCTGCGTGTTGCATTGCTCTGCAGCTGCCCACGTTTTCTCCATTCTTCCCCACAGTGCATTCCACCGAGTGTGTCTAAGATTCAGTGCTGATTGCAGAAAAGCGGCCCTCCCGAGTCTCCCAGGCACAAGCCCACCTTGAGTCAGAACAGCGTTTCGGGGCCTGATTTGCATCCTGACCTGATCTGCCAAGAGAGGTCCAGGAGGCAAGAGCAGTTAGAAGCTCAGATCCGTATCTTCCCATTGCAGGGGTCTCCGCTTTTTTCTTTTTAATTTCTACTGTGGGGCACGTGTACTTGTCAAGGAGACACACATAGAGGCAGAGAGAGGAGGAAAGTGAAAAATCACCCCCAGAGGGGGTGGCCACACCACAGTCCCTTCTCCTCCACTCTCCTCTTGGGATTTTGGGCACGCATGCACGTGAGCCCGGCATGTTTTTCAAGCCGGGACTTTTAAGGTTTGGGACTCAAACCACAGAGTTGGCCATGTGGGACCCAGCACCCTAACCATCACACCACTGCTGGCCCAGGGTTCTCTCCTTGCCCCCCCGCCCCCACCATCTCACACACACACACACACACACACACACATGGCATCTAGAAGGTTGGACTGTTCCGATCCAGTGCAGTGGTGTCGTGTTTCCTGGCCACGGTGAGAACCTTGTCTGGGTAAGAACAAGAACATTGACCTGGGAAAATAAGCCTGACCTTGGTTGCCTGGGGCAGTCCCTGAAGTTTTTTAAAAGCCTGAGGAGTCCATTCTCCCTGAAGGCTACCCTGGGTCAGGACCCTAGTTGGGGGCTGGGAGGCAGGAGACCTTCAAAGCCCCCAAGGAGAAGAGGCAGCGCCCAGCACAGGGCCCACACAGCACCCGGCCTCGACCCCTACTGAAGTGAGTCTCTGCCCTCAGATCCACATGAAGACGATGCCAGCCGCCATGTACCGCCTGCTGACGGCGCAGGAGCAGCCCGTTTACATCTGAGCCCGCGGCCTCGCCCGTCCGTGGGGCGGCGGCGTGCATGGAGGACTCTCCTCATCGTGGTTGTGTTTCTCGTATGCATCCGTGTGTCCACTGAGACATTTCCCTCTCGCACCCGGCTTCGGTTTTACACAGGAAGAGAAGGATCTGCAGGGACCTCTGTGCTCTCCGTCTCTCTCCAGTTTGCATTTTTGTTTTAATACCAGGGAAATTTCCTATGTGCTCCCTTGAGGATGGAGAGCAGCCAGTGTCCACCCAGGTCCATCGGGGGGGGGAGGGGCTCCCGGGGTCATGATGTGGTCTCCCACTGACTGGGGAGAATTGTCCCTTCCCGAGGGGCGGCAATGGAGCCAACTCAGCAGTGCCTCAGCATCCACGCGGGATCTCTGCTCTCCACGTCAGTGTGTGGGAATGGGGGAGTGGCGGGGGCCACGGCGTTAGGATATGCACTGCCGCCGAGTGGTCGGGGGCCACACTTTATTTCCGCCCAGAATTTCTGAGCCAACCTTACACCTCTTCCGTAGCTTGTTTTCGTTTCAATGTCCTCGTGTTTTCTAATATGAGCTTTCTTACCCCAGGATACACAGAAAGTCATGGCCTCAGGTAAGGCCGCCAGAGAGCTTCGCCAAGGTCGTCCTGAGGGTCCCAACCATTGAGTGAACACAGGCAGGACACCTGCCTCTCTATATATGCGTCTCTCTCTGTGTCTCTCTCTCACACACGCACGCACGCACGCACGCACAGTCTCATGTGCATATCATCCTTCCCCCCACCCACCACCAGTAAGGCAAGCTGAAGATCAGGTGTGCCGAGCACCAGGAAAGCCCACAGCACCTCTCTGGCACCTCTTCCCCTGCAGGTGCTTGGGCATGCAGAGCCAGCCAGCCTCGTCCTGAGAGAGAGGTCCCTGTGGGGCTGAGGTCTGACCTACGTCGGCTCCAAGTTGGCTCTTACTGGACTCTCCTTGCCCCCCCACCAAACACACACACTGGGAGTCTAGGAAGGTGGGACTGTTCAGATCCAGGTGCAATCGTGTCACGTCTGCAGGCCAAGGCGAGACCAGCTTGCTTCTCTGCTCAGGGCCACTTGGCAGGATGTGATCTCTGAAAGGCCAGGACAGCACCTAAGCCACAAAATGAAGGGGAAACGATGACCTCAGGTTATGCCTAAGAATCCCCAAATGTGTTCCAGAAATGGTATCTTGCGGCCTCATGGGTGTGAGCGTCTCCAACGGGTATGGAATGTTCTGTTTCCATCAGGTGCCTCATTTACGGATTCCGTCTCGGGTCTGTGCACGTGTTAGTGATATTCTTCTTCTGAGCCAATTTTCACTTATTCTTGGTCCAAAGAGCATTTTGTTTTCATGTGGGGTGTGGTTTGTTTTTGTTTTTGTTTTGTTTCATTCATGACCTCAGTAGAGACAGGGAAGAGAAGCTAATATATTTTGTAATGTTAATAGAGCCCCTGTTCTCTGCACTTGCGATATTTATATTGTGTCTGTGGAAATAGGAATTCAGCGAGTGAAATGGCGGGTCGGATGTGTTTGTATAGAGAATGTAGGGGTTTCAGGGAGGGACTGCAAAAGTGGCTATCACAAGATTAGAAACCAGAGATTCCACCAGCGAGAACACGGCCAGTTCCTCGGGACCCCCGCACCGTCTGAGTTTTCTGCTCAGGGTCGGGAAGGGACATGTTTCCGAGGAATCAGAGCTGAGCACTCAGTTTCACTATTAAGAAAAACTCTGATGACGCGTGGCTGCCACTGCCCCCGGCTCCTGTCTAGACAGGAACGCCCCCGGCTCCTCCAGTGAACGCTGCCTGGTGGGGCCCGGGAGCCAGCAAAGGCCATCCAGGGCCTCTGGATGCCTAAGAGGATGCTGCAGGGATCCCCAAAGGCGACTCCTCCCTAGTGCGAGGACCAGGGACCACGGCCCAGACGGGCAGCGTGCCTCTCCTGAAATACCCAAATGTCGTGTCTGGAATCGCATTCAGTACTAGAGAGTTTCCGGTTCTTACTTCTTCTGTCGAAAAGAGACCGTGGCTAGAAAAGGAATTAAGGTATGGGTGGTCTTTCAGGCATCAGGAAGGTCAGTGGGAAATCATTGGACGGGCTCACACCTGTCTGCTCCCAGGGTGTCACTCAGGCCACCTGTCTGAGCACCCACATGGTACTGCAGAGACCTGCCTTCAATTGGCCAGGGGATGGGACCTCCACTACACACCCTTCACCACCCTCAAATAATTAAGTTACTTCACCCCCAGGAGAGAGGAGCGAGAGCAGACTTGGCATTCCTTTTTCACAGATATATTAGAGATGTTGAGAGGTGGTGTAAAGGCCCACTTTACAAGCTCTCCTACAGGACCAACACATTTTAGCATAGCGTAAGAATATTTAGCCACCACATTCCTTTATGTTAATAAAAATGTCTCCTATACCCAGAGAGTGGGAGTTGCCAGAGCTCGGTACAGGTGCGCCCCACCAAAGTGTATTTTCTCTGCTACGGTTGGTGGAGGGAGTTAGCCCACATGCGTGCAGGTAGCCCAGGAGTTTGTCTTCAACATCCCTCAGCTTGCGTGGGTCCCCAGAGGAGCGGTGGTCCTCATCCATTCTGACACCCCAGTATATGTAGTTATATATGTAAATACCTAAATGCCCCATAGGATGGGGCTGCCTGTACAGAGCCGCCTTCCCAAACATGGCCAGGCCACAGAGCCATGCCGGCTGCTTGGCTGGGATGTGCTGTTGGCTCAGCTTTGGGGACAGACTCCCAGATTTATCCCCCCCCCCCACTTTCCTGGTCTGGCCAGGATGTACCAGAATCCGCCCTGCCTCTGCCTTCTCCAGTGCAAGCCTTTCAGGGAGCCACCGTCAGCCTTGGGTTCACAAGAGGAAGAAACCCCCAAAGACCAATGCCTGGAGCCCGCTTCTCAAGTAACACCTTCCTCCCTCACCAGAGAGGCTCCTCGGGGGAGGAGCGCACCCCACGGGGCACTGCATCCCTGCAGACGGGCCTGCTGTCTGAGCATCGCCCAGCAACACCGCCTTCAGGGAACCCAGAGTAACCTACTACCTCCCCATCGCTCCTGCCCCCACGGCCCCGTTCACACCTGGCACTCCCTGTCACACACTGATAGCAACCATCCACACAGCCCTGCGTGGTCTCCCGAGCCGATGGTGTAGCCGTTACCAATGTTTACAACCAGGGGCCGCCTCTTCTGAGATGTGTGTACCCCACGTTCACAAGGCCACTTTTTGGTTTGAGTTCCATGTCTGTCTGCTCCTGCCCGGCTTTGGCTCACGTGAGCACGTGACTCGGACTTCATTTCCACCCCTCCCCATCAAGGCAGTGTGAGGACCGTGTTGGAATGACCTTGCGTGTACATATTAGCACCGCGCCTAGAGTATTGTACTATTGTTCTGTAAAGAGGGTGAGATAGAGCTTATTGTAAAGCGTCGGGAGAAGTATAGTATTGTATTTGTAACAATATCGTTCTTTGTATACACAGAACTCAAAGATCTCTATATATAAATATAAATAAATATATAAATAAACTATATCTACACGTGAGCCTGGAATGTTGACACCGCACACCCACTGAATGTATTTCCTCTGACAGTCTGGTCGCCGGCCCGGCTCACCCCCATTCTCCGTGCCGTGGCCACAGTCGTCTGGTTTGGGGTCGTGATGTATTTAATGTGCTATCTTCCTTATTTAACGGAACGCTAATGTCTGTATAAGAGTTGCTGCAACAATAAACAAGACCTTTCCCTCTTGGCCAGGCTGGGTGTCTTATTGCGCAGGGGAGGACTTTAGCTCCTGCCACCCTCGAGGGGCCTGCTGCCCAAGGCCCTGGTGTTTTCCAGATGGGCTTTGCTTCTGTGAAATCAGGTTCGTTTTAAACATGGAAGGCCAGCTGTGGAGGCCAGCAGGTGCCATAGTGGTTAAGGTACTGGACTCCAACATGGCTGACTGTGGTTCAAGTTCCGGACCCTGCAGCTTGAAACTCACACTGGTGAGTGTGCACGTGTGCCCAAAAACCTGAAAGGAGAATGGAGGAGGAGCACACCGAGAGGAACCTTCTGGATTTCAGACTCAAGGAAACAGGAATGAATCCCTCCTACCTCCATAAGAAATCTCTGAGGAGGGGCTGGTAGTTGTCATGGTGGTTGAGGAGCTAGAGTCCCACATGGGAGTCTACAGTGCGAGTCTTTGACCCAGTAGCTTAAAAACCACACTGGGCACGTGTATATGCGTGCCCAAGATCCCAGGAGGAGAATGGGAGAAGGGATTGTGGTAAGGTCATCCCCTGGGGGCTGATTTCTCGCTTTCTCTCTGTCCGTGTCTATTTCTCTTCCGCAAGCATGTGTACCTGAAAAAAAATAAAGAAAGAAAAAGACAGAAAGAGAAAGAAATCTCCAGACAGGGGAGGTGGCCTTTGTTAAGGAACTGAGGCCCAAGTGAATAGTACAAAGCTAAACTCTGGGAAACCCAGGAGCAGTTTCCTTGAGAAGGTTCTGGAAGGTTTTCTTCTAATGTTCTTCTCAGATCTACTTTTGCTGGCACGATCTTCTGCTGCCAGGAGCATGCCAGGGACACTGGGCTCCTGGCATATCCAACTCTGTTTCTAAAGCAAAATGGTTTTTCCCTGTGGACACCACGGCCCCTGTCTTCCCTGCAAAGCCTGTCACCGCACCCTGGGGCTCCATGAGCTGGGACTGAGACTGAGTCTTTATAAAGAAATAGAGGTTTATTGACTCACTTCTTCCAGCTGAGAAACCCAAGGGATCACAAAATGGCAGAAGGCAGAACCTTGCACAGAGCAGAGTGTGGTCTGCATCCTTGTGGGCTCTGCCTGTCTCGTTTCTTCTCCTTAGGCAAGCACCAGAACTCGGGGAGGAGTGGGACAGGGGGAGGTGGGTGCGCATCCTAATGACTGCTCAAAGCCCTCAGAGGTAGAGGCTGGGCCTTGTACCAGGGCCCCTGAGGCAGCCTCTTGTTGCTTGGCCCCAGGGGACCTCTTTGTCCCCTTCCCCCCCTCCCAGTGAAAGCTGAGTGTCTACCACAGAGGTCCCTGCTGGTGAGTCAGGTGGGAGGAAAACAGTCCCAACTTGGAAAATATCTAACAACTAGGTTTGTTTCTGGTTTTGGTTTTTGTTTTTTTTTGTTTGTGTTTGTGTGTGTGTGTGTTGTTGTTTGCCATAGGACAAGTGCACTTAGAGGAGAGAGAAAGAGAGAGGGAAAGTGAGAAATCATCCCTAAGGGGAATGGCCACCCCATGATCACATCTCCATTCTCCTCTCAGGATTTTGGGCACACACGCACTCAGGCCTGGTGTAATTTTCAAGTCACTGGGTCCAGGACTTGAACCCCTTTTGGGATCCAGCCACCAAGCCACCTGCTTGCCCCAACTAGCAGCTAGTCTTTCTAGCACCATCACATAAATTAACTCAGCTAATCCCCACAACATTCTGTTGCAGTTCAGATAATGGTTTGTCCCCCAAAGGTTCATGCTTTTTACTTTGGTCTTTGTGGACATGATTGAATGTCCCCCAAAGCTCACGCTGGGACTTGGTTGTATTGTATAGGGGTTAAGGGAAAACTTGTGGTGCTTACAGGAAATGCAAAAATGGTTTTTCCCTGTGGACACCACGGCCCCTGTCTTCCCTGCAAAGCCTGTCACCGCACCCTGGGGCTCCATGAGTTGGGACTGAGACTGAGTCTTTATAAATAGAGGTTTATTGACTCACTTCTTCCAGCTGAGAAACCCAAGGGATCACAAAATGGCAGAAGGCAGAACCTTGCACAGAGCAGAGTGTGGTCTGCATCCTTGTGGGCTCTGCCTGTCTCGTTTCTTCTCCTTAGGCAAGCACCAGAACTCGGGGAGGAGTGGGACAGGGCGAGGTGGGTGCGCATCCTAATGACTGCTCAAAGCCCTCAGAGGTAGAGGCTGGGCCTTGTACCAGGGCCCCTGAGGCAGCCTCTTGTTGCTTGGCCCCAGGGGACCTCTTTGTCCCCTTCCCCCCCTCCCAGTGAAAGCTGAGTGTCTACCACAGAGGTCCCTGCTGGTGAGTCAGGTGGGAGGAAAACAGTCCCAACTTGGAAAATATCTAACAACTAGGTTTGTTTCTGGTTTTGGTTTTTGTTTTTTTTTGTTTGTGTTTGTGTGTGTGTGTTGTTGTTGTTTGCCATAGGACAAGTGCACTTAGAGGAGAGAGAAAGAGAGAGGGAAAGTGAGAAATCATCCCTAAGGGGAATGGCCACCCCATGATCACATCTCCATTCTCCTCTCAGGATTTTGGGCACACACGCACTCAGGCCTGGTGTAATTTTCAAGTCACTGGGTCCAGGACTTGAACCCCTTTTGGGATCCAGCCACCAAGCCACCTGCTTGCCCCAACTAGCAGCTAGTCTTTCTAGCACCATCACATAAATTAACTCAGCTAATCCCCACAACATTCTGTTGCAGTTCAGATAATGGTTTGTCCCCCAAAGGTTCATGCTTTTTACTTTGGTCTTTGTGGACATGATTGAATGTCCCCCAAAGCTCACGCTGGGACTTGGTTGTATTGTAAAGGGGTTAAGGGAAAACTTGTGCTTATAGGAAATGCATAGGCAGAGCCTCCAGAGCCCTCTTGAATGCTCCGTTCTGCATAAGGTTCTGCCTCTGCCATTCCGTGATGCCTATGGACTTGCCAGCCATCAGAATTGTGAGTCAATAAACCTCTATTTCTTTAGAAATCACCGAGTCTCAAGTATTTCTGTTACCAATGCAGTAACAGACTAAGCCTCTGAGAGGCAAATGCTCTTATCATCCCCATTATGGAGGGGGAAACAGAGGCATGGACAGTTAAGGGCTGGTTTTTCTAACAACGCCCGTCTATGGTAGAGCTCCTTGTTCCGTCACATGGTGATGAACTCGGCATTGCATCCTTTGGTCGGTTTTATTTCTGGGATTTTTTTTGTTGTTGTTGTTGTTGTTGGCTATAGCACACATGTGCTCACCAGAGACAGTGGCAGGTGGCCACACCACACTCTCTTCTCCATTCTTAAGATTTTGGGTTTCCATGCAAACATGCTCAAAGTGTTTGTTTTACCAAACGACCAGTCCTGGGGCCCAAACTGCACAGTCAGCCATGTGGGATCACAGCCACCTTAACCACCATACCACCTACCACCTTTGGTCTTTTTTGGTTCTTATAGAGCTTTCTATTCCAGGTTTTAATTCACTTGCAAACCTCAAAGTTCAACCAAAGCTCCGCCCGCTCCCCACCCCAAGCTAGGCATTGGTGCTGGGTACTGGGGAGGGGCTTTGCTTCCAGCTCCCTCCAACCATCTCCCCTCATCTGCACCTTTTCAAGGGAAGGGGCACCCTTGGGAAGGTCAAGGCTTCTAGACCATGTAGACTCCTTGTAGAGTAACCGTGGGCAGCCCCCCAGGCACTGGGAGTCCCTCAGCCCAGACCTTAGGTTCCAACTGTCTCCAAAGTAGACACCTCTTCAACCTTTGCTGTGTCCCCAGCAGTCTGCAGTCCATGGCGTCATCAGTCAGTGAGCTCACCTGGCATCCCCCTTCCTCAGCCCTCTGCAGGTGAGGAGGCAGCCTTGGCTTCTCACCTGGCCAACCCACGGCCACATTCACACTAGAGGCTCGCCTGTGCCCCCCGAGGACAGGGAGCCAGGTGGACGGCATGACAGCTGACCCTCACAGCTGATTCTCTTGGGATTCTTCTCCCTGGACTTTGGCTAAAGGATATGTTTCTCTTTGCTCACCCCACAAGGAAGAGGGGGTAAATAACTCCCTTCCTGAGTTCTGCACTCCCCCGAATAGCCTCACTCCTCAACCCCCGCTCTTTGATCGCCAGGACAAGGGTGGAAGAGACAGCTGGTAGGAGAGCCTATCTCAGCCATCATGGGGGATGTGTCTGACCCCTATGGGTGGTGTCCATCCCATCTGTGTGGCCACCTCTGCCATGGGCAGTGCCTCGTGCTTTCCCCTCCCAGCTCTGACATTAGAAATTGCGGAACTAGGAGGACCAGCAGTTGGCATGATGGCTATGTCGCTGGACTCCCAGGTAGTCAACCGTGGTTTGAGTCCCGGACCCAAAGGCTTAAACTCAGCCAGGTGTGTGTGCATGTGTGCCCAAGTTCCTGAGAGGAGAATGGAAGAGAAGGGATTGTGGCATAGCCATCCCCCCTGGGCAGTGATTTTTCACTTTCTGTCTCTCTCTGTCTTTCAGGCAAGCACACATACCCTATAGCAAAAACCTCTCCAAAGAAAAAAAATAAAAATGCATAAAAAGAAAAGAAAAATAAAAGAAATTGCAAAACT